ACACGGCCTGGCGTCCTCACCAGGCAAAATTCGACCAGCAACAACTGGGACACACAAGTCCGCCGCCGTCGCTATGAGAACCATCTTTGCTCAGAAATGATGGCAATTTCATCAAGAAATTGGGTTTGTCGATACCACGAATGTGTCCTGCCATGGCTCCATCTGCCGAAAGCGACGGAGAACACACCCACATTGTACATACGCTATCTATCATATGCTGACCCAGAGAACTGGGTTGCCGCTCGGCTGCCGTTGCCTGCTGTGCGGTATCCAGTTTGCGGCCGGAGACCCCAGACCAACGGCGCAAAACAGCGCTCTTGAAATACAGCCTGCCTGGCTTTTGGTTCCGTCCGGTCACGATCTATCTGGACATAAGGGGTGCGCTTTTTGAGTTTCATCCAGCCACCAAGTGAGATGCCTCGTGTTAATCCCATCTTTGCCCATGAAGCTAAGTAGCGGGCGGACCTGGGGAAGTCTCATCCGTTGCATGTTCCGGCCGAGTTCAAGCATCAAAAGAGAGGTTGCCTCGAATACACACAGAGCTCAACACCCCCCGGCCCAGCATATCGGAACTGCGGTGCAACTGACTGTCCTATCCCGTTCACGCAGCCCTTGAATCGCAGCATGGTCCTGTTGAACCGGGTAGTTAGTCGCATGTCTGCTGTCTAACTAGTCTCAGTCGCGAAATTGCAGCGACATCCATGATCCAGTCCATCCCACAGACCCGGTTCGTTTGAGTGGCCAGACAGCCAACCCACCGCGGCCCTCTTTGGCGCAGTAGTTGTGTGGCTGAGGATTCTCAGATGCGGATGAGGTACATACATCACAACCACATGTGCACCACGGTCCACGGGGCAGTAAGTGCCTCTTTTTTCTACAAGTCCACCAATGCGAATGGACAAAGGAAGGCTACTTCGTACTAACTAACAGGCGACCTGACTCGCTCCATGGACCACCACTCACTCACTCAATGCACCGCAATGCAAAAAAAAAGACTCGCATGTATTTCAGCTTACGGTGCACTCAACTCTGTTTGTTCTGCTCCACCACACCGAACGCGCAACAATCTCCAGTTATCATAGTTTTTGCCGTCCTCGCACTGGTCGGCGACGGTTTGTTTCCCATCTCTTTGGGGGCGTTTTCAGGTGCCGAGCCTGCTAGTGAGTGAGGGTGAGGGAGGAGGGTTGGCAAGCAGCCAGGGCCACGGCCACGGCACACTGCAACTGTCTGTGTGGCGTACCGTTGTCGTTGACAAGATCGCACATGCTGCTTGGTGAGCAAGCAAAAGAAAATATACAGCAAAGAAGACGGCGGCAGAAAAAGCAATTCTGGCTTCACCAGCGCAGACCTCAGGCAGGAAGGCAACTCTACCGAGGAGATGTCATCATCGGCAGATACTGGTACCCTACTCAACTCGCACCTGGAAGTTGCGGTAGTGCCACGGAACTCACATCGTATCTATGGAAGTTGGCCGAGAAATGTCAAGCTCAAGAATGCTGATATCCCAGTCTCCCGATTCATTTTCTGCCACATCGCACGATCTTCACTCAGCCGGATCAACACAAAAGGCTGATTACGGGATGGGGCACCTGTTGGAAGAACGCGCCCCAACTTCTATCAAGATAATCTGTGCAGATACAACCTCAACGTGGTGCCACTCCCAACACCAACGAACCCTTGGCGTCCCTCTCCTATTAGCTTCAAGAGAGCTGCTTCCACCATAGTTGTCAGCGCAGGCTAATAAGCCCGAGTCTCACATGCGGACAGGGGATTGGAAGGGGTGTGGGTGAGGCTCAATTTGAGTGTAACCACACGACGATACGGATAGAGAAGTCATAAACCTCATCTAGCGACGATATCGCCAAAGTCCTGACTGAGCCTCGGAAACTGATGCATATCGAGCCAACCCCTCCATCTTGTGCTTTAGAATCTTTGTGCCACGCCAGCACTGGGCTAGCAATCGAACTGATCGTCGCTTGATTGTGCGGATCTCCCGACGTTGGGATGATCCAGTGCCTTGGCAGTCGCGCCACCAAAAGCCAAGCCTTGTGCTTCGTTTCACGAAAGGAAGTGATTGACATTCAGTTTCCAGAAGACCAGCACATTAGGAATCCGCATATATTCCATCTACGTATAAACACAAAAATGCGTTTGATCGCTTATTATACTCTATTTTCCTTGCTGGGATGGCTATGCCCTGTTAAGGTGCGTACCAGTAGGCGCCGGACTTTTTCTCCCTCTCTTTTATTATTTCCCTCAGCGGCCTCCGAATTATGCCGTCTCAGTTTGAGGCGTCCTTGGCAGTGCCTCCGAGCTTTTTTTCTTGCTTCTCGAGCAACTGCCTTTGAGCCCCAGCGAGAAAGAAAAAACAATCAATCAAAGAAAAAAAAGGGCGGGGGGACGTGTTATAAGGAGCCATTACCTAACAGCTGAACAGACGGAGGCGTTTGTATATAGGCAAAGTACTCCGTACGAAGAAACCAGCAAGCCGCCCTCCGCAGGGGATAAGCTCCAGGGTACATAATAAACCCGCCCGTGTAAGTATCCGGGAGCTGAGACGCTCTTGATGCGTTCCATTTCCTGCTTCCGGCGCATGCGGCTGCTATTTGCCAACCAAACAAGTCTTGCCGCGGAGAGCAGTTAATATGCAGCTGGCTGCTGGCCGGACTGTTCCCGGGAATTGACGAGAGGGAGACGGACAGACAGACAGACAGACAGACAACAAACACGGGACACTCGTGGAGCTTGCATGCGCTCATACAGTAAGCAGGTCATCGGGTGCTGGAGCATCCGAACAGGCAGGAGACAAGCAAGGCAGCGTTGAGAAGGCTCTGGCGGGTTTCCTCTTTCCTTTCCTCTCCCCACGGCGGCACGAGTCGAGAGGCCGCCAAGACACAAAGCGCCCTGTCTGTCCCGCGGAGAATGTAGACTGGATGAAAGCAGCATGAGAGAGGGTACACGCCCGGCACGAGTCCACGTCAAAGAGCATGTACATATCCGCATATGCACTAATTACATCAAAGTCCAGAGGCTACCGAGTTTCGACGAAACACGGCACCGAAGCCTATCGGTGCCGTGTCTTGCATGTCGAGATGCTTCTCGCCTAACCATCTATTATGCTTCTCGTGGAGATTGTTTTTGCGACTCCAAGACGGGATGAATCCAGCCTAGCCCGCCTCGCTCATCCCGTCAGACAAAGTCTTGTTCATGTGCGAGTTAGTCGGAGCCCTCCCTCGCCTGCCATTCAGGGACCTGTCTTGAATCTTCCCTCGCCTGCACCGCCTGCACCGCTGTGCATGCATCTCGGCCGCACAACAAGACAACAAGACAACAAGACAAGTAGAAAGCCAGCTGCCAAACAAGGGAAGAAGGGGAGGGATGCGCGACAAGGGAAGGCATAGAACATCGGCGAAGGAGAAACGCCAAGACGAAAGGGAAACGGCCAAAGGAGAAACGCCGAGTTTCATGCAAATGCCATGCGCACCTCGTTTATCCGACACAACCGCATAACTACGACCATCACAACACCTTCCTTCCAGTGTCCTCCTGCCCTGCTTGCTCTTGGCCCGTTTGAGCTCATGTGTGAGTCCACGCGCCAGGCAGGTCCTTGTAAAATGGCCCTCCTTCTTCCCTTGCTCTTCTCGCCGAGCTGAACGAGGAGGGCAGGTCGAGAAGCTCTTGTTCACCGATGGTAGAGGACAATACTGGTAATAAGCTAGTCACTTGAGACAGGCAGGCGCATGTTTCACACATGGTGGCGTCAGGCATCGGGGCTTTTTTATTTCGCCTCCTCTCGTCTGCCCGTCAGGCTCGTCTGCCCGCGCCCCCTTTGTAAGCTTGTCTTTTCATCTTCCCATCCACTGGGGTGCCAGCAAGCCCTTCTGAGACTTGGCCAGGCAGGGGCTGGTGGAAAAGCTGAAGGCAAGTCCCCCAGGCTCGGATGTGCCTCCCGGTGCCTCCCATGTCACTGTGTTTTTATGACAACGTTGATGAGAAAGTGACGAAAGACTACAAAGTGTCAGACGAAAGATTTGTCGCCCTGCACACTCCTTGCACAAGACTAGTAATCCCTGAACACAGGAAGAAGTACTCTAGTTATTATATAAAACAGAAAATAGTAAAATACATGAAAGGAAACATGAGTACATTTTTAAAAAAATAACCATCTAGTATTATATAAAGAAGAAGGTACTACCTACATAAAAACTTGTATAGGATATTTGTTTAATCCTAAGAAGTCTCTTATACATTAAATAGAGTACCTTTTAACCCTAGTTTAATGTTATGACCCTACTTGGGTAAATACTTTTTCTATGCAGCCCACGAAACTTATTACCCATACTACCCAGTACCGACGTTGGAAAGAAAAGGAGAGCGAAATCAACTCGTACATTCCAGCACACTACAAGAAAGCCTCCCAGTCTCAACCCCTATGACGCCCTTAGCCTCTCTCTCCCAAGACAAGCTTTCGTGTCTCTGTTCCAGAGTCTAATAAATGTCTTTGAAAAGCTTGACGTTTTTGTCCAACTCTCCCACAAAAGGGACGTGCCGTTCGGAAGACGCAGATCTGGAATGCCGCCTTCACCATCTGGAACTGTTTCCCGTTATCCTAGAAACATTAACAGCCGAGGAACGCAGACCCATGCGTTGCAAAAAGAAAAAGAGGTATTCTTGAAATTAAGAAGAGAAAGATGAAAACCAAAAAAAAAAAAAGCCTCTTTGCTACAACAGTACAAGATAAGAAAGAAAACGCCCATATACATGATGTCGCCCGACTCCTACTCTTCCTCTCTCTATGCTGGAAACGAACTCTTGTTACCCCCCCATTCCTGTTCCTGAAATATGATACAATGGCAGAAGAAGTAGAAAGAAAACAAGTCACGACTTTCTCGCCCTCGCGTTCCGTTCCGTTGTATACACGTGCGCTGTAATGATGCTTGGTTCGTGGTCGCATTCCCAGAGAGCGAGTCCTGCTTCTCCCAGCATCGCTTGCTTGTCGTCTATAAGATGATGGCAAGCTCGGGACGATCAATCTTGTCGTCTTCCAGGTTTGGATAATACGGCACCATGGCGTCGGCCGCCTGGACGTAGGCGTCGTTGTACAGGCGCCAGTACGGCGTGCGCACCTTGCGCGCCGGGTGGAACAGTCCCGCCCAGACGTAGTTGAGCACGATGCCGGGGCCGGTCGCCATGCGGATGGCCTCGATGGCCTCGATGATGCGATCAATGACGTGCGGGCTCGTCTCGAAAAGGTTGGGATACAGGAGGTTGAGGAGATGAACCATGGCATCTTCGCATCCGAGTCCCATGACGCCGAGGGCAATGTGCTTGACCACCGCCGCGGCGGTCTGACGATGGACTTGATCACGGTCCGTCAGGGCGTCCTCTAGGAGTGGCGTGACGGCGTAGACGTAGTCCTTGGCCATCTCTCCAATGTACTCAAACAGGAACGACAGAGACTTGAGCACACCGTTCTGTACATTGAGCTCCGGCACGCGATACTCGTTCATTAGGGCGGGCAGGACCGTGAAGGGCGCGCAAGTCTCTGCAACAATACCGATGGCGACGGCAGTGTTGACGCGCGACTGGCGTTCCTGAACTCTCAAGTTGTTCAGCAACGTTGCCAGCACGTCCTGAGGGCCAATAGCTTTCGCGATAAATCCGAACGTGTTGTTTGCTGCTCGACGAATGCCTTTCTTGTGAGCCTTGAGCATATCTAGGAGCTCAAAGCAGATACGCATCCACTCTCTGGCATTCACACTTTCCGGACCCCGATCAGCGATACGTCCGACAAGGTCAATAGTATTCTCTTGGACCTTCTCATGTCTGTTTCGCAGAATGGGTGTCAGGCGCGGCAGCAAGTCCTTGATAGGAGGCTGCATTTGCGAGATGCCAACAACCGTAACAATGGAACGGAGAGCGCCAAGAATTGATCCCAATACTTCCGGGTACTCTTCACCGAGGTATTCGTAGAGCACAATGCCGAGCTTGCCCATGAGGGCATCCTCACCACACTGCTGCATGACCATCGCAATGCGCGAAATGAGGTCAGCCGCCTGCTGTCGGACAGTGGCCGACTTATTGTTCAGTCTCCAAAGAATGGTGCTGACAATCTGGGGCAGGTATGGCTTGCATCGCGTCCCGAGAGCATTGACGACTGAGCCAAAGCCGTTGAGCATGACGATGTCTTCAACACTCTGTTCCTGGAACGCATGCAGGATACCGTCAATTAAGCGCTCTTCAAGTCGCTCTCCGATATCCGCAGCGCCGAGACTGGTAACAATCTTTTCGACAGTCTCAACCGTCATCTTCCTATACGCCTCACTCTCATCTTTAAGGTTGTTAACGATTCTCTCAAGAATCTCGCTGACGCCAACCTTTTGACCAATATCGACAGTCGTCTCGACAACTTGACGGTAGTTGCGCTTATCAAGGGCAATACGCCTCACCCAAAAACTCTTGAAGAACTCATCAAGAACCTTCTCCTTCAGATAGCCTGCGGTTACACCTTCAGTAGCCGCACATTGAGACACAACTTTGAGAACAACCTTCTTCATCTCCTCATCGGGTGAAGAGAACTCCCTTAGCAGAATCTCCATAATCTGGCTGGTATAGTAGTTGGCATATTCTTCGTCCATCAGAGGAATAATGAATCCGACAGCCTTGAGGAAACCAGCCAACCCCTTACCTCTCTGCTTGCGCGCTCCCGTCCAGAGAGGGTTCAGGATATCGTCAAAGCTCTCGATACCGTATGGGTTCGAGGCTTCGGCGAGAGCTGCAATAGCCAGACTAGTTACTGTTCGAACCTTGGTCTGCTCGTCATTCAGGTTGGGGCCAATGCAGTCGACGAGTCCCTTCAGATGCGGCAGAACAGCACATCCCATGAGAATGGGAATTTGTTGCACAATCTTGACACCAGTGTGGCGTGCTTGCCAGGACTTCTTGCTTCGGCAAACGGCGCGGAGGAATGGGAGGAGGGCGGGGATACCAAGTGCAGAGGCAACGACGGCAAAGGCTCTGGCAGTAGTGTTGCGGACGTATTCGTCGACGTGATCAATATCAGGTCGCATGGTGCTGATCATGGTTGCTAAGCCAGCAGCCTTGGAAAGGTTCGATATGATCTCGCGACCCTCAACTCTGGCGTAATAGTCTTGGTCGATGAGGAGGGGCTCGATGACGACAAGAATCTTATGGACATACGGTCGTACAAGATCATCCAGCTTGTAAAGAATGCGATCGATAACCTTGACGAGCAAATGTCGCTCTTGGTCTTCGAGAGTTTTCTCCATGAGGAGCGGGAGGATCTGGTCGAACAGAGGCCCAGGGCCAAAGTTTCTCGCATTATCCGTAATTTGTCGAAGGGCTGTCTTTCGCATCGGTGGTGTGCCGTTCTTGATTTTGAGCAGTAGGCGCATGATTTTTCTCTCCTTGAGCTGTTCGACAGAGAGCGCGTTTTCGTCGGAGCCATCGGTCAGCTTTCCAAAGTATGCCATGTCTTCAGCCTTGAAAAACTGTAGGTCGCCGACGCCGGGGATCTCGGCCGGCATTGGTTTGCCTCCGAGCCGAACCTGATCGGGGTCTTGCATCATGAAGCCACTCTGCTCCACCGGCGCGACCATCCTGTGAGGTGCCACGCGGGTAGGCTCATATCCCGGAGGTGGCTGCAGGATTTTATACCCTTCCTCTTCACCAGGAAGCAGGATATCCAGTTCTTCGTCACTGATAGGCAGGTTGCGAATGTCGCTTCCAAAGTTTGCAGGCATCATGGCGGCCTGCGACTGAGGTGCAGGGGTAGCAAGACCTCCATTGGCCATGGATGTGGCAGAGGGGGCCTGATCCCAGCGAGAACGCTTCTTGGGAGCGTCGCCTTCAAGAGGCCCGCCAACCGCAGGTGCCTGGTCCCAACGAGAGCGCTTTGGTTTGGCTGTCTCCTCCGCAGGAGTTTCGTCGCCTGTGCCAACATCCCACCTCTTCTTGCGCTTGCGACCTGCAGAGACAGCCTCTGTAGATCCAGCGTCCGCGTTCTCCTTGTCACCTTCGGTCAAAACGGGCCTCGCGTCGGCGTCGCCAGATTCCTGCTTGGCTTGGATTTCGCGTCGCACACGCTCCTCTTCGCGTTCAAGTTCACGCTCTTCCATGATCTCGCGGTAATTGGTACCATTCTCGGCTGCGCCAGCCTGTCGATTTTCGGCAAACGGATCCGCGCGAGTCGGGGTCAACACACGGTTGAAGCGGCGCTTCTGGTAATCGGTCTCGCGATCGGCAATACGGCCACTCTTTTCGCCCTTTCCAGCCAGAATATCGTCCTCTTCAACGCCATCACCACGTGCAAATTCGTTGATGATTTCGGTCGAAGCTGTGTACTGGCCAACGAGGCGTCGCGTGGTATCCACGCCATCCATCTCCTCGTCCTCGTTAGCCATAGGGAGGCTGGTATGGTAGCCCGCAAATTTGTTGCCGCCATCATTATCGTACAGTTCATTGTCGGCGCTGTCAATCAGCTTCTGCTTAGTCGAGTCCGTCCGCTGGGTCGAAGAACGCGGTCCCTTCTTAGCGGCAGCGGCAGCATTGCGCTCCTGCTGGAGCTTCTTGATCGTCTCGAAATCCGCGTCAGACATCTTGCATCAATATTAGGCCAGCCTCATCCCGGTTCCAAGGTGCAAGCGGTGATAGAAGCGCCAATGTTGCGCATGGGTAAGTTGAGATGCGACAGGTAGCTGGTGTTGAAGTTTTCCAGGCAGCTCTGGTACGAGGGGGCGAAAAAAAGCTTAGAGGCTCTGGCCGCCAATTCCGAGGATTTGCCGCCAAACAAGTTATAAGAGGCTGGTGGCACTGTCAGCGCGGCATGAGATGATAGTCTTAGGAAAAGAGAATATGAAAAAAGAGGGGAAAGGAGAGATATGCTAGATATATAGTTTATCATATTTTATAGTAGTAATTTGTTTGCAGTGTTCGTTCATTATTGTTGAAAGTTACACTCCACGACGAGTTCGTCTCCTCTTTGCGGGTAACTCCATCACAACGGCATCTACCTCCTCCAGCGCGACTTCGACGGCAATTTCCGTCTTCATTCGCTTTCTGGAGTTTTTTTCAGACTCTGTCTTCTTGGGCGATACTTCGCCGTCGGAAACTGGTTCTTGCTTTGATGGTCGATCCGCGAAAGATTTTAGATCGGCAGTGAACAAAACGGAATGAGCCCAGCCAGCGTAACTTCCCCATATATTCCGGAAATGGTCACCAACCGCATCGTACATGACTTTGTTGAAGGTCTTTGTTTTAGTCTTGCCCATCTTATAGTCACGTTGTGCAATCTGCCAAACATGAGTGTCAACGGGGACGGATTCTCCCCAGCCTAGTCCCATAAGACAGACGCAGTCTGCTACTTTTGGCCCAACACCAGTCAAAGCAAGCAATTCTTCGTGCGCTGCTTTATAGGTGGGAATTGTATCAGATAGGCCTATGCCATCATTATTCAGGGATGACTCCGGATTTCGTAGTGTCTCAAGCCAGCCCGCGGGCTTCTCTTTGGCGATGACGCGAGCAGTCTGGGCGATATATTTTGCGCGGTATCCAAACCCAAGCTCCCGTAAGTGGCTTTCAACTTTACTCCCTGAAAGAGCGTCAGGGGTGGGAAAATCGTGAATGGGCTCTTCTCCAACATGACCAATGAGCGGCCCGTAATGTATGCATAATTTGTGAACCTAACTCCAGCTCAGTCTGGGACTCTTGCAAAGATGAAGCGGCTTTCGTCTTACCATTTGAGAAATTCGGGTTATGTTATTATTGCTGCTGCAAATAAAGCCCACCAGGGCCTCCCAAGCATCCTGGGTTAGGATACGGACACCCGCGAACCCGGGGGCTTTTTTGGCGAAGTTGGAGTCTGCTTCTGACCACTGTTGATAAAGCTCGGCGAGATTTAGCCTTAGACTGAAGTAATGCCGTAGAAGGTCTTCGGTATCATCGCGTTCTATAGAAGCCGGTGGTGTCGCAAGACCTGTTTGCAGGCTTGGCCAAACTGTCCTGTAGTGAAGATGCTGGGGATCTTGCTTCAGGGACAGGATACGGCCGTGAAGCGCGCAAGTCCTATGTTGATCAGTATCATCGTGAAGTTTATTAGCAAAACAAAAACCAAACATACCATTCATCGTTGATTTTGCGCCACCTAAACGATTGGCCACAGCGCAGAGTTGTATCTATGCAAAGCTCTGCTAAGGTAATGGGAAGCGTCCGCCATTCAGCCGCGCGTTTCATAGCCATACTTATGCGATCGAGATGATAGGCAGGCGTATCACAATCTCGAAGTACAATGGCAAAAGTCGGCAAAGCGCGATGGAATATACAAGAAACGAAACGTGCAATCCCTGCTGCTGGAGATGAATGGCCGTCAGACGGGCTTGGCTGGGCGGATGGTGGCCACACAACGGGGGACAGAGCGCTACAACTTTTTTAGCGGGTTAGCCAGGTACTCACTAACATGTGTAAGTGCAGGTAAGGCAGTAGTAAAGAAAGAAGCACTGTAAAATACTTCGGAGATTAAGAAAGTAGCCAATTTTTTTTTTGCTCTGCTTTCAAATTCTGCTCATAACCCCTTGTTCTGTTCTTTTTCCAATGCGTAACTCTCCCCTGCACAAACCCGTCACACATGACTTGGCTGAAGGAGAACGAGAGCCTAAACCCGAAACAGCTAGGCGCAATTGGCAGAAAAGCTCCCAGCATCACGGCGGCACGCCTTCAAGACGCGGACTTTGCCCCTACGTTTGTCGACCTCAAGCCTTTCCTGAGCCCCCATCTCCATCAATCGAGGAGAGGCGCCCGAAATCTAGAGGCGCAATATCGATCTGAAATCATGAACGGTGATAACTATTCGTCTAGAGGTGAGCCGACTGTTAGCTCGTGCAACTAACCTAAGGCTGACACGATACTTGCGGCAACAGAAGGCGACAGTCGCCGGGATTATCAGGTAAGAAGAGGCAATTCTCACATTTTTCATGATTTATTCTAACTTGAAATAGTCCTCGCGCAGTGAACGAAGCGACAGGGGGGACCGCGACCGCGGCGATCGTCGTGAACGCGGCGACGATCGACGAGACCGACACAGAGAAAGAAGGCGCTCGCGATCTCCTGACCATCGCCACCGCCGCGACCGAGACCGAGATGGCGATGCCTATGCATCTAGCAGAAACCATAGAGATAGGGAGCGCGAGGAGCGATACTCGGGTGGCCGCGACCGTCGAGGCGACAGGGAATGGGACAGGGATCGTGGCAGTTCGCGCCGCGATGCCCGGCGTGATGATGATGGCCATGGCAGACGCGATCGTGACGGCTTCGAGGACCAGCGTCGAGGTGGTCGAGACCGCCGCGATGACGGGATGGCGCGCCAGCAGGAGCGCCGAAGCCCGTCGCCTCCCAAGCGCCGGGAGCCTACGCCCGACCTGACAGACATCATTCCCGTTCTCGAACGCAAGCGCCGCATGACACAGTGGGACATCAAACCTCCTGGATATGAGGCTGTCACAGCCGAGCAAGCCAAAATGTCGGGCATGTTTCCTCTGCCCGGCGCGCCGCGACAGCAGCAAATGGATCCCACCAAGTTGCAGGCTTTCATGAACCAGCCCGCTGGTGGACAAGTCAGTAGCGCTGGGTTGAAGGCCAACAACTCACGACAAGCCAGGCGTCTGTTGGTGTCCAACATTCCCAGCGGAACCACTGATGATGCGCTTGTTGCCTACTTTAATCTGCAGCTGAACGGACTGAATGTTATCGAGGCTACGGACCCGTGCGCACTCAGTCAGCTCTCGAACGACAAGTCCTTTGCTGTTGTGGAGTTCAAAAATACCGGAGATGCCACCGTTGCTCTTGCTCTCGATGGCTTGCCCATGACGGCCGACACCGCAGGACTTAGCATCCGCCGCCCGAAGGACTATGTCATGCCCGCTGTACCGGATGATATCATGTATAATCCTGACGTTGTCTCTAATTCGGTACCTGACACCATTCATAAGCTCTGCATTACAAGTATCCCGCCATTCCTCACAGAGGACCAGGTGTTAGAGCTGCTGGCTGCCTTTGGAAAGCCCAAAGCTTTTGTTCTCGTCAAGGACAGAAGCAGCGAAGAATCGAGAGTATGTATCCTACCCCCCGGGCATTGCGTTGACACTAACTAATCACAATTCCAGGGAATCGCATTTGCCGAGTACGTGGAGCCTGCTAATGCAAACGAACCGGCCCTGAATACTCTCAATGGAATGGATGTTGGTGGCAAGAAGCTCAGAGTTACCAAGGCTTGTGTTGGTGGAACGCAGGTGGCCAATTTCGATGCTGGTATTAATGCTATCAGCAATCTTGCTGGCCAAGTCAATGGAGGTGAAGCCACTAGAGTTTTGCAGCTTCTCAACATGGTTACAGCCGAAGAGCTCCTCGATAACGATGACTATGAAGGTAATGATTCTCACCAACCTGCGCTACCAGGCGATTACTAATAACGTTGACAGAAATCTGTGATGACGTGCGGGAGGAATGCTCCAAGTACGGCAAGATTTTGGACCTCAAGGTGCCACGTCCGGCCGGCGGAAGTCGCCAATCGGCTGGTGTCGGCCGTATTTTCGTCAAGTTCGAATCGACAGACTCTACGACGAGTGCTCTCAAGGCGCTGGCGGGCAGGAAGTTTGCGGACAGAACCGTCGTGACAACGTACTTCCCCGAGGCAAGTTTTCTTATCAGCATAATTTTGCTCCGGAGTATAGAAGCTAACAATTTTTCAGGAGAACTTCGATGTCAGTGCCTGGTAAAGCAGGCTGGGAAGGTTAACAGGATGAAAAGTCGCCAGGGCAAGGTTCAACAGCTTTGACCTGGTTAACAGGTTGTGTTGGAGTTCGCTTTTTCTTTTGTCATTCATAAAATGTATTGTACCATCGTCGATTACAGCAAATCAGGAAATCTAAGAGCTGCTGGGGAACGGCCTGAAATCGAGAAAAGTGTTCGTGATGATATCGGGGGCCGTGGATGGATGTTGGCTTGGCGTCAAAGTCGATTTTACAAGGCTGGGTCTGTTTCGCTACTAGGTACGTATGGGTCGCTCACTATTTGAAGTACTATATTTGGCAGGTTAGCGTAAATTCTCCCAGCAAGATTTGAAGTTCTCAAGGGTGATTGATGGGGTGATCAGAAGTCCAGTAAGTGCATTGAGAGCTCGAGAGCCCTCTCACTTAAGAGGTACCAGAATTAAAACAATTGTGTTCGTCTCATCATGTTGGTAGGGGGGTTTATGATGTAAGCTGCGCGAGGGAATAGGACTTACGATGACAAAAGGTTCATTGAATGTGCCAGCTCTAACAGGAGCCGTTACTATCAAGATGGGAAATGCGGCGAGTTCAAAAAAAAAATGGCGGAGAGAGATGGCAGCACCAAGAGCTCCACTTGTTTTGGACAGTTCTCGTCACGTGTAGATAAGTGCATTCGGCCTAGTAGGAGAAGATGAGGGACCACGCACAAATCTGCCCTAAATAAGCGAAAATTTGCACTGCTCCACACAACCGTCGGCGTGGACCATACTCTCAAACTTCATCGCGCCCAGGTCAACTCCATCACGACTCCTCAACAGACGACAACCGACAACCACCGACAACCACCGCCAACATGGGTAGACTTCACAGCAATGGCAAGGGTATCTCCGCCTCCGCCCTCCCCTACAGCCGCGTCGCTCCCAGCTGGCTGAAGACCACTCCCGAGCAGGTCGTCGAGCAGATCTGCAAGCTCGCCAGAAAGGGCGCCACCCCTTCTCAGATCGGTGTCATCCTCCGTGACTCCCACGGTGTCTCCCAGGTCAAGCTTGTCACTGGTACGTCTTTTTGCGATTGGACTTTGGGGGTCGGGAGGGATCCCAAGTTGCGCGACCGAACTCGGATGGCTAACATTTGTCGCTCTACCAGGTAACCGCATTCTGCGCATTCTCAAGTCGAGCGGTACGCTGAACATGGACGGACGATCCGATGGATAGCCGTTACAGTTTGATCTCTTGCGAAAGAGACAAGCATACAACTTTCATGCCTCTGTGCGGTTTTGACTGACAGAGTGATTTATAGGCCTTGCTCCCGAGCTCCCTGAGGACCTGTACATGCTTATCAAGAAGGTATGCATAAAAACTAAGACAGCGCTCTGCGCGCTCACGTTCTGCGTCGAACTTCTTCGCTAATTGATCCTCCAGGCTGTCGCCGTCCGCAAGCACCTCGAGCGCAACCGCAAGGACAAGGACTCTAAGTTCCGCCTCATTCTCATCGAGTCCCGTATCCACCGTCTGGCCCGCTACTACAAGACCGTCGGTGTCCTTCCTCCCACCTGGAAGTACGAGTCCGCCACCGCCAGCACCATTGTCGCCTAAACGGAGAAAACTCCTCGTCGATTTCGTGCCGCGCCGCCCCGCGGATTCCCTGGTTTGGAGTTGGGGGAAATTTTTTATGGAAAAGAAAACACACCTGCATTTACAGCCATGATGCTTATGCGCCAGTCCTAGCGGACTAATGAAGGTATTCGAATGCTCAAATAGATGGCAATTTGTCTACCATAAAAAAACCTTATACATTCAAATGCTGGTATCATAATCGTGAATTATCCCATGACCCACCAAACGCCCAAATCATGCTTACGCCTCCCCTGTGCTATCTTTCATTGTCGTGTTGATAGATTAATTTGTCCCTTCGATCTCTTTAGATTTTTGTATCAGATATTCACCAAGAACCCGTAGCGGATCGTCTGGCCTACTGTGTGTTAGCGTCTTATGTCGGCGCAACCCATTTGTCGCTTTTACGCACTGTTCTTTAGCGAGCAGTTTCATTCCGTCGAGGAGAGCGCCGGTGACCTTGGTATTCAGGTAGCGTCGCGTGGAATCGCCATGGGGAGCGGCCTCCGACGGTATGCTGAATCCTGGGTCAGGATGTACTGAAGGAGCACGCGATGCTTGGGCAGGCGTGCCTGTCCTGCCGGCTGGAGCTGGGCTTACAGCAGCGTGTGCAGGAGTGGGAGACTGTTCGAAAACGTCAGAACTATTACAAAGGTCAAGTGCGAAGGCGCCATACAGCTTGATCGATCGCGGCGTCGGTCATCAGTACGTCCTTTTGCTGTGTGTCGCTGTTGGTTGCGAAGTCGCCATTGACAGCTGTCGGAACGACCCCATCTGGTGTCTGTTCGTCTGGAGTAGTTTGGTCGGCCATTTTCGCGACTTCGAGATGCAATTGGCGGTTTGAGGACGCGACAAGGTCAGTCGAACATAGAAGCCTTGGGATGGTTCTCTCTGCTGGCTGATTGGCGGGGCGGTTCAAGCCGCCTTTTAAAAAATCACCTGACCTCGCGTCCGTGAACGTGTAGCTGGACGCGTCTCAGCCGCACTGTGAACTTGAACCTCAAAGGATACCCTGAAGCTTTTCACAAGCCTCAAGGCGGGATTCGGGATGGATAATCCACGATGGATGCATTCATAAAGAAACTGACACCAGCAGATGACTCCGATGCGTCGTCGAATTCAGCCCCTGGTGCCGAGAATGAAGGTCCTCCATTGAAGCGATTGAAGCGGGATGAAGGCACCAGTCTAGTGTCGGAGGAATCCGAACAGTCTGTTGTTGAGGACGATGAAGTGCAATCGTTACCCGAAAGTGGCTGGGGAATTACTGCAGCTCGAGACCAATCAAAGAGGACTACAGAGGTTGAAAATGCTTTACCGGCGACGCAACCAGACGAGGCTGCCCTTGACGCATACGAAGAATATAAATCATCGCAACTCAGTGCAAAGGACGAGTCGTCAAAAAAAACAAAGCCACTGTGGATAAAGGGCAGGAGTTCTATTTATGTGGACGCTTTCAATCTTGCCCTGGATACGGTGCTCGAGGAAGAGGCAAAGCTTTTCAACGAACAAGAACTTGGCGTATTCAATCAATGGAAGTTGCTTGACTATGAAGCTCAGTATTTGTATGTCAGGTGAAACTGGTGGTCATGGTTTTTACTGATGAAGACGCAGGTATGTGCGCCTCTTTCTTAGAAAGACAGCTGCGTGGCACCGGTCGGCTCGCCTCGGCTATTACAATGACATTGCGAACCTCGAAGTTCCAATCGCTACATTGCAACAGACCAGATGTCTTCCAACCAGCGAGTCTCCTGAAGTATCCGCTGGTGAGGTAGATGGCATTCAGGTCGAAGATGAGAGGCTAGGGGCCACGTTCACCTTTGCTGACTCTTCCGAAATGTTGCTCACGGACATGGAAGAAGCATCATCGCTACTTTATTTGGATGAGCTGAAAGCCCTCTCCAAAGAAACCAAGATACAAGGGCGAACAAAACCCGAACTAGTAAGAAGCCTATCACAAGTGAGCCGCCAGCAGACCGGCCTCAAGGATATGGGTCTCAGCAGACAAAACAGCCGTGATTCAACAGGGTCAGATGACTCAAGCCGTTCGACCGGCAAGCTGGAGATGGAAGGTTCTAAGCAGAGAAACATTTTTCTTTCTAAAGTGACTGACATTCTTGGGCCTTGTATCAGGCTGTCCTCTACTGTGTTCAAGCTGTTTGAGCGGGTACATCTCGTCTTCTACCGATCAACAGAGTGGACCGAGAAATCTCTGACGACTATTATTCTTGCCAAGATTGCTCGCAGAAACTTTCCTGAATACATTGTTTGCCGCACAAGCACGATATTCGCATCTCGGAGGCACCTTCTGGAGTTTGAGGCCGCCACTCGGCTGGAAGCAGAGATCGACCTGTGCCTCGAAGGAAGCGGAGCTGTGTTGGACAAAGGATGCCAGCGGATCCTTGAGATTTACGACGTTATATACCCTCGTTGGAAGAAGCTCCTGGAAGAGGAACAAGACAAGGAGCGATCAGGTTATGAGTTTGGAGAGGGGGCATACTTGCGGCGTTTTAACCCAGGGCATTCCTACACGCGGATTCTTGCCAAAGCAGGTTATGCGATGGGAAAGTTCAAAGAATACGGGCGTGAACACGATTTATTAACGGAGCTTCTCGAACAGAAGATGTTTCATCTAGCACGCCGGGGCGATTGGTATCAACGGAAAGCCCTGCTGGAAGAGAACTACATGGCCAAGTTGGGGGAACCATATGCTCTGGCGGAGTTGGAGCGACGAAAGAAGGAATGGAACAAAGCAGCAGCTGCCACTTGCGAAATGGCGCTTCAGGACTCGGATTGCCACATGACATTCCACTTTGGCCTACAGAAACGGCTGTTGAAGCTGGAGAAGAAGTTGCGCATACCGAAGCGACTTCAGCATAACTTTGGACATGTCAAGCTAGCCAAGCCGCTCGAAATTACGGTACACGGGATTCAACTCAAGCGAGAGACGACGCCGAAGGCGGGCAACATCAGTGTTCCTACCAAGACCATTTGGCTCGACGAACTGGACTCGGAGGGCGAGTGTAGCGTTGAAGACATGTGCCTGAGCCACTTTCGTGCTGAGGGATGGAAGGGCTACCACTCCGAGGGGCGCATTGTCCGGACACTGTTCGCATATCTCTTCTACGACATATTGTTCCTCTACATCCCCAACGTCTTCCAAACGGCCTTTCAGACATGCCCCCTCGACTTGCACACGGACGTCTTCTTCCCCACGAGGGCCTCCGAGATCAACCACCGGCTCGTGGAGATTGAAAACGGCGGCGCCGAGAGCCTCGTCCGCGCGGTGTGGGAGCGGGAGCACGAGCGACGGACGGAGGTCGTAGGCCTGAACTGGGACTACGAGATTGACGACCTGCTCGAGCTGGTGCGGTGCTTTGACGGGGGTGCCCTGGCGGCCATCTGCAAGGTCATGGCGCAGGAGTACAGGCAGAGGGGAGGCGGCGTCCCGGACTTGATTCTGTGGCGTGCCCACGAGTCGCCTGGCGAGTGCGGCTCGGGGGGGCGCAAGGGAGAGGTGATGTTTGTAGAGGTCAAGAGCGAGAACGATCGCCTGAGCGAGACGCAGCGGGTATGGATCGATGTGCTGACGGCAGCCGGGGTCCGAGTCGCTCTCTGCAATGCCGTTGCCAAAGAGGTCCGCGAAGTGGACTGAAAGAGGGCAGCCTTCTGTGGACTCTTCCTCTACAGGTAGGTGCCTCTGCTGGTGCTTCGGGCACGTCCTCTTCAACGCCTGTCACAGTGTACTCGATAATGGCCGAACAAGACGAGATCACTGAAGCTCTATGAGCTCGATCGCTTGATCATCATCCCAAGGGCACCCAAGCCGGCGACGAACTGTGATCGCCAGAACCGCACCTCGGAGGTCACTGTGCCGAGAGAGAGGAGGGGGAGGGGCAGCGCAAGCAGGTGGGATGAAGATGGCACCGCATCATGTCCCATGCTACTCTAGTGGCGCAACTTGAAGATGCAGCTCAAGGCACCCAATAGCAGCAGCAAGTGTACGAGAACGGGCGCATGACCCGCGCGAATTACCTACGCAGCAGCTGAGCAAGGTGCAAAGTGGTTTCGATTGTCAAGTACGCTGATAGTGGAGTGATTGATATACACGGATATGACGCTAGCTTGAGAAGGTTGTTCATATTGATGTCCAGGACAGGGCTAGGCGGCGCGACATGTTGACGCATCGCCGCGCCGGGGGGGGGGGCTGATGAGACACTTCGGGATTCTTGGTTACATATTTTGCTCAGGGCCACGAGTCTCTTCTGAGACTACCAGGGGGAGTACGAAGATGGGCATCATCAGCAAGAGGAGAGCGCAAATACTGTCGACTGTGGCGCGCACTTACACCTCTGTTTACTAGCTATGGGTCCAATGCAGTGCGGCGGCGTGCTCCAAATCAAGCTTCGCAGGAGGTGGACATTATAGAGGCTGCCAATTATTATTCAATTCTTTTTTAAACGTTTAAGATATGCGACTGGGCCGGAGCATCTTTGAGCGCTGTCAAGTGCACCTTTTCATCACTCAGTCTTTGGTTGCACCGCAGCAGTCGGTCATTTTCCGTAGGGGGGGGCGGAAGATGCGAATGGCACCTAAAATGTCTGTGATTCTGAATGAGCGTCCCATCCACAGCCAAACTTGGCTTAAGCAACGGAAACTAAACTGCCGTCCAAAAGAAAACACGACACAATGAATGGAGTGAGAGAGAGAGGCGGCAGCCACAGTCAAGGAGACGGACAATGCGTGAAGCTAATGCTAATACAGGGAATGAGACGGCTATCAAGTAGGCTACGCAGAAGACTAAGAGTAATGAGAAGCGAAATCCCCAAACCTTGGGCGAGGCAAGGGAGACTAGACTACGTTATTATTTGCCTTTGTCGCAGTCTTTCCTCTCCACACCCACCTTCGTCCGTCCCAGGGTTCAGGTTCCACCATGACGGGCGCTTAAGGAGCTGCCAATCAAGAGGCTGAAGATGGCTGGAGTGGGTGATGAGCTGTGGCAGAGGGGGGCCACTAGCCAATGAAGCCAGTTCTAAACCGGCCAGCCGGCGCTTAGAGCTCATCACTGAGTGGTCAGGGCAAGGGGCAGGGGGGGTGAAGGAGTGGGAGAAACAGGAGGGGGAGGGCAGAGAGAGATAGATGTCTTCAAGGGACGGACGACACAAATACTTCCCGGGAGTTGACAAGTGCGCCCGTACGATTACGGACCCCCCCGGCCGAAGGAGGGATTGTCCGATTTGTGCAAGTGACTGGGCAACATTGTACGACAAAGCGCCGTTTCCGAGGCGAAAAAGAAAAAAAAAGAGAGAGAGCGAGAAACTCCTACAGAAGGTATAAGTCGAAAGTCGACCAGCTTGGACACAACCCAGGTCCAATCCCACGTGGAGAGAGCGCTTTTTCCACACCCCACCAAGGAAAGGATTCTGCAGCAATCTAGCAGGCGCCTTTTCAATCTATAGAAGAGACAAGGGAGGGGGTTTTTTTCGTCACGCGCATCCATCTGCCGAGGAGGGCGCAAAGGCGATGATGATGGTTGCCTGCCTGCATCCTGAGCTGGGCGGTCGGCCGGTTGGCGAGGCGATACGCCAATACAAAAAAAATTAAAAAATAAAGGCAACACAAGAAAAAGCCAGGGGAAAAAAAAAAAGATCTACTACATTTGATTGGAAAATAAAGCACTCTACTGGCAAACCTACCTACATGGGTAAGGAAGGCAACGACGTGGCAGTCGTAACACAGAGAGGGAAGGGCAGAAAAAAGGGCTGGGAGAACGGGTGTACGCCGGTGCCTGTGTCACCCGCTGACGTGACACCTCACAAAGGATTTTTTTTTTTTACAATAAAATAAGATACGATAAAAACACACCCTCGTTGCACAGGAAACGGCATAAGCAGTAAGCACAAGCACTTTTACATCACCCATCGTCGGGTCGCACAACTCTCGACAGGACGGGATCTGGTGGGTGCCGGGGCCCCAGCGGAGCGGGAACGAGAGAGAGACAGAGAAGAGAGAGACAGAGAAGAGAGAGACGGGGGCCAAAAAGGCGGTATAATAAAAAAGACTAACCTGGATGTGTTGAAGACAATCAAAATGCTCCGGTGTGCATGCTGTGCTTGCTGGTTGTATGGTTGCATATGTACATCCATACATACATACATACATCCATATATCCCGGCTTCCGGGGGCCTCTTCTGCTAACAACATGGATGAGACTCGGATGCGCATCCTCCAGCCACGATTGGGAGAGTATGTTATTTAATTGATTTTTTTTAAAAGGAAAAGAGGGATATTCCCGCAGTGCAACTACCGAACCATCCTCACTCCTCTGACACCGGCACGGGGTATATATCTATGTACATAGCTCAATAAGTAACGACTTATATGCCATGTTGCACAAAAGTGGTGATCATGGACATGGTCAAGTAGATAGCCCACGACTAGTTGCTTCAGACCCCAGACACGACTCTTCGAGCCCAATCTGACGGGTCGGCTCCATTCTGTCGACAAGGATAACATCCCATCGCTCGGGACGCTTCTCAACCCTCATACTAACCGGGGTTGGTTCTGCGCACGCATCAAACCACAAACCACCACCACCCTTCTTCTCTGGACTTGGGCTTCCCGCACAGATGTCACAAATTGACAAGTCTCCTTCATTATACCATCCTTCGATCAAGATCCTCCAGCATTATGAAACCTCTCGTTTCAACCTCAACTCCAATGGGGGGCTTTGTTTCCCCCACTGCCCTTCCGTCTTAGCGCCTCGTCACTTTATGGGGAGAGAGGAGGGGGGGGAGGAGGGCTGAACGGGCTCTTTCCCTCCTTCTTCTACTTCCTCCTCTCTGTTTCCATTTTCTCTACCGGGCATCCCCCTGCTCACCCATGATTAGATCCACTGTGAAGGAGGTTTCGAGAGCGTTGTCCGCATTGTAGATTGGACCGGGGGGAGGGGGTGCAAGTCTCGACCACATGCCGGCACTACTGCAGCAAGGACAGATCAAGGACCCCCATGCGACTGGCAATGAATGGCCAGACCGTCGCTGCAGCGTAGCGTTGCATGTGTTATCCATGTACGTGCGTGGTTTTGTGTAGACTCAAGAACCAGGTTGCTGGCGGAGAATAGCTCGAGTGACGGGCAGGCTTTCCAGATAGGCTCTGCAACCCGGCGCGCGCGTACGTCTTGCATGCTCCCACTCCTAGACTGCCTTTTGCGAGTCTGCCTAGTCCGCTCGACCCTCAATCCTTCAAGATCCTTTACTGCCTTGCGTCCTGGTGGTGGCTTGGGTGATGTGCTCAGATGGGCTCGGTACTTGGCAGCAGACAGGCAGTGCCGGCCGCTCTGCATCCATACTGGTAGATAGTCCTCGGCCATGGCTGAGACATGGCATTGCCCGTTCTGCAGTGAATCACACTATCAACTTGATCAAGAATAAATATGAGTAATAATAAGGAGCAAGCCACTCGCTTTGCTTTGCTAACTATTCAGTTTGCGACGCTTGGTAGCTTGTAAAGCTAAGAGAGATGTGGTGGATTGTTTGTACCTCCACTATCCACCCATGGGACGCATGCCAAATCACCGTGTCCGCCTCCCATATCAGCGCCAAATACACGATCCAAAGAAACTCAAAACATGTAAAAAAGATTAACCAAGACAGATAATCAGAAAACTCCGTACTTGCTTGGTATTTCATGTCATCCTGGCGCCTGTTCTTGTCCAAAATGGTTGCGTAAAATCGTTGGATGTCTTCAGCATCGGCCAGCGCATTAGCACCGAAGCGTCATCCTTGAGTCGTTTTTTATGCTCCCCGCCATAAAACTCCCACCGTATAAAGCAACAGAAAAAGGGAAATGAAAAAAGAAATCGTCTAAAAAACAGTGGGTGTGAATATAAATAATAATAGGACATAAGAAAACAGGATGAATTAAACAAAACTCTGGTGCCAAAAGAGATTTTGCTCATATGCAATCCCAAGAAGGTCAACTTGTTGAATCGTGTTCCATGGTTGCTGGCCGGGCAGCAGCTATGCGGGTCGTAACGTCGTCTCAGTAAACTACCAAGGGCAGTCTCGAAGCCAGTCGAGGAGGGTCAAGGTTGGGCCAGCCAGGCCTCGAATTATTCCACCTTGCGTCTCTTGCCGCGGGGGGCTGGCTCCATGCGTGGGGTGTAGGTGACTGTCCTCGTCACCACCTCGCGAATGTGACGAACGGTGCGCGCCGACTTGGGCTTCTTCTGGTCAGCACAGCGCGCCTTGAGGGCGGCGTCCCAATCAAAAACGGAGCGTGATGAGCGGCCGCTATAGGGCGAGAACATGGAAGCTGCAGCGCTCAGGGGCGAGTCGAGGTTGGACAGGGCCGGACTGGGCGGAATCTTGAAGCTGGGAAACGACGTCGGCCCAATCAGTGGCGCTGACATGGGCGCCTTGGTGAAGGGGCTTGGCGGTACCAGCGAGGCAGAAGCAGAGGCCAACGCCCTCTCCACGGCCGAGGCCTTTTCCGAAGCAGAAAGAGTGGTAGCCGATGCGGGCGACGATGGTTTGCTAGTGCTCGAAGCAGACGTGGTCGGCGACGTCGATGGCGACTGTTCATCCTTGGCACTGGCGCTCGCCGTACTGACGGTACTGCTGACGCTGCTATCGTCAGGCTTGTCATTCGTGTCAGTGGCAGGCGAGGATTCCCGTGCTGTCGTTTCGGCAGGGGCCACGGGATGCGAATTAAAGGCCATCGCCCTCGATAGGAAATCCGTGTAAGCCAGCGGAGGGGTGATGGGCGTCTTAATAAAGTCGGGTTCGGCTTTGCAACACCGAATAGCGGGTAAACTGAGGCTGGAGAGAGGAGTGGCCGTGCTGACAGAGGTGGCGGAGGCAATTTCGGACGGGAAGTTGCTGGTGACGGGCGTCGCGACCTCGAGCTTGGGTTTGGGGCCAGGCATCTTGAAGTGGAAGGGAGGGAGAGATCGTGGGTGTTGACTTTTGGTCGCGCAAACGGCTCGCTAAGACTAGGAGAACCAAGACAGAGGGATGACGTTGGCGGGTAGGGTATCGAACAAGGGCCTTTGGTGCAACGCAGAGCAGATAGACGGGGAGGCGACGGGAGCGATGTTGTAAGGGCCGAAGAGAAGTTGAAGAGAGTATTGATTGATGATGATGATTGATTTGAAGAGCGAGACGGAGTTTAGTCAGAGTCGGCCTTGACGAAGGAGGAGGGGAGAGGCAGGCTTTAAGAAGAGGGAGGTGGCAGCGTTGGCGGTTATGTATATACGTGTTGACAGGCCAGTAGGTAGTAAGAGCATAGCCCAGCGGCAGCAAGCGAGTGGAGGATGAAAAGGAGGGTGGTGCGGCTGGTATTTCTTTGGGTTGGGGGTTTCAATGGGATGTGTGGAGTTGCCAGGAAAGAAGACGCAGAAGGAGAAAAGAGTGGTGATGACTGGATAGTAGAAGGGAAATCTGGATGCGTGTGCAGGTCGTGATGGTGTGTGGTGATAGATGGTCGAGGCGGACGAGAGGGACGAGTTAAAAGAGGAGGGGGAAGAAGGAGGGAGGGAGAAGGAGGAGGGGGAGTGAGTGAGTGAATGTGAGGGGTGTCTGGAAATTTGGTGGCAGCTGCTGTGGTTCACTCCAAGCGCTGGAGCCAGGTGCCACAGTGGACGGACAGTGGACGAGCTGAGGCGACGACTGGTCTTGAACGCAGTGTGGCGACGGGGCTTACAGGGAGTTTTCCAGCGGTAACCTGCACGCGTTCTGCTAGAGGTTAGAGGTACTACCTACCTAGGTAGGTAGCCTACATACATCTCACTAATTGCTGGAAGATGACACCTCATGTAATTGCAGTACCTGATATGCACTCTGCCGCGGTCTCCCCGTTTCAACTGGCGCCAGACAGTTCGCGAAAAGAAATTGGGCATGCAGGAAGATATTATTGTGGCAAGGGAGGGACTACTAGAAAAAGAATCATCGGCTGGCTGCCTCCCGGCGGGCGATGGTGTAAGTCGGTCGACCCCGGTTTCTGGATGATTTCGGGGCTCAACCCGGAGGCCAGACCAGGATGAGAGCCATCCGTAGCGTGTAAATAGAAGGCATGGGGTTCATCAATCCGACATAATTAGGTCCGGGAGGTGGTTTGGGTTTGGGGTTTGGGGCACAATGGGCGTCATGAGTACGAGTCGAGCTGCACCTATTCTCTGCTGGCACATGCTACACGGTAACCACCGTACCAAGACTAGAAAAAGAAACGACGGAAAGAAAAGTGCATCAAAATAATCTGTACGTCAACAACTACCTACAGAAAAATACGTAGTAAAAGAAAGTAATACCCAGCAGATAAAACAAAATAAAACAAACCCTGGTGGACCCCCTTCTTCGCTGGGCGGCTACTCGACAGCCGACAGCCAGTGGTTTGGCAGTCGCGGCGGGGCATCCATCTCGTTGCTCCTCTCACCAAACTCGTCTCCTTGGACCAAGCACCGTTTTTGACTCCATCCACCCACCATCCACAACCAGCCCTTCCCATCCCTTCCTTGTCTATCGGTACGGTACGGTACGCGCCCAGCCTTTCAAGACAGGAAGCTCCCCAGAGCCAGCCCCCAGAGTCCTGTGATTCGGTCGTCACGCCCCCTGCCATCGATGATCAGGCCGTCGTGCTCGGCCCTTGCCATTGGGCAGCCCTTCTAGGAGGGTGTCTCTACACCTCCGTTTGTCTTCGCGAATAGGGAGGAAGCTTTGCTTCGACGACAAAAGTTTATCGCTCCTTTAACCCAGGGCGAAGCCGCCTACTTCTCTTTCTTCTTCTCGCCCTTCCTTTCTTGTTATACCCGCCACTAATGCCCGTTTTGTCAGCCAGCATGACGACCAGATCAAGCCTCGGCGGTTCGCCTTGGCATATTCCACGCAATTGGTCGAGCCAAACGGCTTTGCCCCCGGCCCATTCATTTCTTCGCGCCTCTCTCCAAGCAGCTGACTCTGGTTTCTGCCTTGCTTCTTGAAAGCGACATCACTGGGCCAGACGGGCAGCCCGGCGCGGCGGGAACCACATACAGGGGAGTTGAGAGGGGGGGTGGACCGACGCACGCTGTCACCCCCTTGGCCCTGGTTCTTTTACAAGAGTCTGGCGCAAGTTGACGGCGCCGGGCTGGCCGGGACCGGGCATGCGGCGCAGCTCCGGTCTCCTGCGTGAATCCGGGCCAGACAGTGGGGTAGAGCTCTGCCAAATATACGGTTCTGGTTCTTCAAACAGGGCGACTTGTGCAAGACTCGTTTGCGCAAGGCTGGACAAGGACACGATTGTGGATTATGGCAGTGCGCCGAAACATGTCGCAGCAATGAAAGCCAACTTGAAAGACTTGAAGCGTAGAGGGCTTTCTCCTTCTCTTATCAGCGCATCGCCTGCTTCATCTTGCTTTTCGCAGCCTCATGCTTCACACATTCGACCGACTTACCATTCGGTCTAATAAGCGCCTTGATGCACAACAACATGCCGATTTATCTTTGATCGAGCTCGTGTCTTTTTTTAACTTCCTCATCCTCCAATCTTTGCTGCACTTCAAACAATACACATGCACACCACCCCGTCGCCCCATCGGTGTGTGGTGCCCCGGACTCCGGGCCGCTGAGCGCTTCGCCGACCATCCATCCATTGGCTCTCGGTGCTGCCGCTCTCCCATGACACGACATGTACGCAAGCCGCCGACTTCACCAGCCACTCGTTCGGTCGTCCTTCCGCGTCTGGAGCAAACTTGCTCCTTCTTCTCCCTCATCTTCTCTCTTTTCGGGTAATACCAACCGCTGCCGCCCGAATCGTCCAAAACAAAAAAAGTGAAGCACGCCACCAGCGTCTTCTCGACTCAGTCTCCCCACACAAACGTGTGGTCGTCAATCAACCCGGCTGCGTGTCGCCGCAGACTGCTGCCCGCAGAGAAAAAAAATTGCAATAACAATATCCTTCCCGTGCTGGGAATTTTTCCTCGTCTCCCGTCGCACCTGATACTTACCTCCTACCCAGCCTTCTTTTGCCGTGTGGCTTTTTTAGTTTCGGCCCCCCCCCCTGTCTATATGTAAGCGCCTCCTGCCGTGTTGCTTACATACATGCATGCATTCATCGTTCATTGACTGCGTCGACCAACGGGGGACATTGTCTTCCAGAAGGATTCGGAGCGTCCACTTGTTTCCTTTCGACTTGATTTGATGCTTCGTTGATTCCACGCCAGAGTTTCCTCCACTTTCTGTTTCCTTACCCCCTTGAATTCTTTTCTTGTTGGTGGCGTTGGGCTTGGGCCGTTGTGGCGTCTGAGCAGGCTAGTTAATAACGGTCAGCCAACTGGCTTCTCGCACGTAGCTCGTCCTGCGGTGAACCAGACTCCCGGGACCAATGATGCTTTCGCGCCATTGGTCAATGCCTAAGGTTCAAGGTTCGCGACATGGACCTCCTGTTGGAAGAGGAAAAAAAAGCCTTACCCGCACGCTTTCACGACACCGCCCGAGATATCGGTGAGTGAGTACCCTGGCCTCCCGAGACAAAGAGCTTATTTCATTCAACTCGCCCTTAGAAACCGACGATGAAGGCCGTCATTTTCTCGTTGCCGGTTAACGCCCCATTTTCCTTTGCCATTCCATTCTGCTTATCGCAAGCACACCGCGCGAGAAGAATGACGGCTGCAAACCACGTCCCGCTCCCTTATCCACCCTGATGCCTCCTTGGCTTGCATTTGCAGGCATAGTCGAGCAATGCAGGCGATAGTTTACACCAGTAGCGATGAGCCTCGGGCACAACTCAGCGTCTGACTCATTTGTTTTGATCGGGCAAAAGTGCCAAGCGTGACGGCTGCTGCCTTGACAGCGTACACGTTTCACCAGCCCATTCCTGCGTTGTACAAGATTTTCGCGGGCTAGCACAACTTGAAAGAGCGTTGGACCAATATCAAAAGTTTCTTCACGGACGACTGTCTTAGCTCTTGACAACACATCATGTTGCATGAGCTAATTTTAGAGCTAACTGACAGAAATGAGAGAATGCCTTCCTTCGCGTCGCTCATACACAACGCCACGGCGCTCCGAGGTTGCGCTACTCGTGTAGCGTGAGGCAGCAGCAACGGCGTATCTTTCTTTCTTTTTTTCTACAAATTAAGAAAAGTTGTGGGTGTTGAGCAGTCAAGTTGAACAACATAATCACTCACACCGCCTTGATTCAAAAGGTCCTGTCATGCGAAGCTGCAGCCTGGTTGCCTGGTGGATGCTGCCGGTGAGCGAGTATTCGTCCACACAGCATTCCCGCAAAGGTTGGCACAAAGCCAAGCCTCAAATGAATAAATGAAGTTGGCGATTCCCTTATCGCCCCTCGGCATCCATCTTATGCGTCCTGTCAGAATTGGGAGCGGCTTGCAGGCTATATGTACCACAGCCCAGGATGACATGGCGCGCGCCAGCCCGCTCTCTGCGGCCTTGGCCAGCTGAGCCTTGCATTTGGCTGCATATACATTCTCGTTTAATGCATTTTGCATGATCCTATAAAGAAAGACCGGCGATAAAAGGAACGTAGAAGTGGAAGCCGGCCGGCTCTTGGCCGTGGCGTCAATTGCTGACAGAGCAACGCAGGCTGCAGATGCAGCGACACAAGGCAGCGGTTGCAGCTTACCATGGGTTTTACACCTTTCACGTGTGAGCAAAGCCAAGTTGGAGTATATCGAGCCAGCATACTGAATCACTACAATGCATGTTGAACTTGACTCGCTGCTAGATGTTACAGAACGATGGCATGTGGTGACAGAAGTGGCGCCGTGTTCGTGAAACTAGCAACGAACAAATAGTGTATTTATAGAAGCTTAAATGGGATGCAGAAGCCAAAAGTGGTATATTCTCATTATAAGCAGAGTAGTAAAGTCTCCGAAATCCTTCCACTGCAAGCCGAGGCAGCATCAAAAAAACCGGCATCCACTGTGCAACCCCCCCCCCCTCCGTAGAAGTGTAATACGCGTAAAATGTTTCAAAGTATCATCACGTCTCTCTCCTCTTGGTTTTTGTCGACAAAATACCAATCAGGAGGACCTTGTAACTTCGTGTTGTTGTTTTTTCCTGCCGTCCAGGCACGCACGCTCAACGCCGTTGGAAAGCTGGTGGTGCTTGCTTACAGGTTGCCAATGGGCAGGTTGCCGACAGGCAGGTCCTTGCCGACAGGCAGGCCCTCGCCCGCACCACCGGTGAGGCGCAGGATCTCGGCCTGCAGCTGGGCGACGCGCTGCTGGACCTCGTCGGCGCTCAGGGTGGAGGGGACGGCATCAGTGGCGCCGGTGGTGGCGGACTGCACGGGGGTGACGGCGTTGGTGACGGCGGAGGTATCGGGGAGGACGCCGCGGCGGTGGGCGGCGACGTCGGCGTCAACGTCGACAGTAACGTCGACGTCGGCCTCTGCCTCGGCGGTGGCGTCGGCACGGGCATTGTTGACCTTGGCATTGACGTCGGCGTCGACATGGGCGTCAACGTCGACATGGGCGTCAACCACGGCCTCGGCAGCGGCGTTCACCTCGGCGTCGACATCCGCGTCAACGTCGACATCGGCCTGGACATCCGCGTCAACGTCGACATCGGCCTGGACGTCGGCGTCAACGTCAACGTCGGCGTCGACGTCACGTGCGTTGTTGACCTTGGCATCGACCGTGACGTCGAGGAGGCGGTCCGCGGTGGAGCGCTTGTGGACGGCGACGTCAGCGTCCACGTCAGCGTCGACGACAACGGTGGCCAGGTCGCCGCGGCCGAGAACGCTGCCCGTCAGGAGCGTGACGGGGAGGCCGCTGATGTCCTTGTTGACGTCGGCGACGTCGCCCAGGCCGTTCACGACCGGGACCGAGCCGGGGACGAGGCCGCGGCGGTGGACACGGGCGTCAACGTCGGCGTTGACGGTGACATCGGCGTTGGCGTTGGCGTCGGCGGTGATGGGAGCGGCGAGGGCCGAGCCGCAGAGGCTGGCGAACAGGATGCGGGTGGTTGAGACCTTCATTTTGGCTGAGTGTAGGAGGTTGTCAAAGAGATGGATGGATGGATGAGTGAGGGTGAGTGAGTGGGAGCTTGCGAGGGCGATGCCGTGAAAAGGAGCGTATTGAGGTGAGAGAGGCGAAGCTGTGAGGGATGAGGACAGGAGCCGGACGATGCAAGTCGGAGCAAGAAGCGATATATATCATCACACGTCTCCTTTCTTGTCCCTTGTTTCCTCCTCCTGTTCTTCTCCTCCAAACAGACGGTCTCCCCCACTGCTCAGCTCCCTTTGTCCTTGCCCGTGCGTGCCCTTGTCGAGCGGGAAAGACGATCACAGCCGTGAGACCATTTCATTTTGGACGTTCAATCATCGTGCCACTGCAACCCCACGCGGAAACTTGCAGCGCCCGGCAGGCATGGAAGGTCGGGTGCGAAGCGAGGGCCCTTTCGGAAACTGATGTCGTTGATTCCTCACGGCTGGTCGGCGTCTAAGACATTTCTTGACGCCCAACCGGTTCGAGTTAGATTTGCAGGCGCTCGGAAATTGCCGTGCATTGATTACATTAGGGGATGTTAATTGTGATGGGCGTGGAAAGACAGAAGAAGAAGGTGTTCTTCCGTACCGTCATCCGCGTCATGGCATCATGACCTTGCAGTCGACTAGGTGCTCTTCGTCCTTGCAAGAGTTGATCCCGATCAAGGGGACTGAAGGTGGCGCAGCAGCCCTACGGATTGGAGTACCTGGTTCCCGGTTATCGTCAGGGCGCAAGAAAAAGATTTTGCTTCGCTGCAGCTTTTTAGTTGCGCATTAAACAATGTCTCAAAAATCTCAATCTCGTCACCTTTGACGGTTGGTGCACAGACACGCCATGCAAGGAAAAGGGGGGGGGAGAGGGCTTGAAGAGGAAGGAAGGAATTTACGAAAAAGAATTTCCAGAAAATTGATTCAGAGCAAGATTTCAACGACCATCATACGAATTAAAGCCATGGAGCTTTACTCCATAATGGTACATCATTGTCCTATTCGAAAAGGAGTTTGTTTTTAGCTTGGCACCAAAGTGAGACCTTTTGATTAACTCGGGGAAATTTTGCGAAGAAAAAAAAAATCGAAAATTCAAAGTGCCATGTCTATCATTTCTGGGTCCCCGACATGGGGTCTCTTCACTTCCATCCCTGAGGTTTGTCAAGTTCTCGCCGGATCTTGTCCGCAACCTTGCGCCCGACCCCGCAAGCCGAAGCATGTTGGGGATTCACACGTTGGTCAAATGACTGCGGCAGTTCTCGCTTGGCAATCTAAAATAAGCCCTTGCTTGGCAAGATCAGACCGCATCCCCAGTAACCGGGTTGTTCCCCGGCAGCCTGTCCAGCGGCCCGTCCCTGCCAACCGGCTCCTCCGGCTCGGCCACCTGCGGCTTTTGCTTCGCCGAGTGCCCGGGGCTGCCGTCCGGACCGACGTTGAGGCTGCACCCGCCGTCGTCCACGCCCCGGGGCCCCGTGCACGTCGCCATCGCCTGCTCGAGCCGCACCTGGTCAGTCCAGCCCTGCAGGTAGTCGCCGTGCAGGCCGTAGCCTGTCGGGTCGCCCATCGCCCACACCAGCCGGTTCGGGTCCGCCACGGCGCCCGTGCCGTAGAAGAACTCGTAAAAGACGGACAGGATCGCGCGAGGGTGTGTCTGGGGGCACACGCCAAAGTTGTACGCGCCAATGGCGGGGAATGCCATCTACGGGAGGGGGGGG